ATTATTGTATTAGGTCCTTTCCAATAATTTATTATTCATCGTTCATAACTGACACAGGATCTCCAGAAGAGGGTAATGCCATATGTCCAAGGTATTGACCCATGAAGAAGCCAACAAGCGTGTTAAGTATTAAATTAAAATATATAATCTGTTAAACAACTCTAGATATGGCGTAACTATTAAAATAAATAATATGTATATACCCGTATTTAATTTGTTAATGTAAATACTAAGTGCTTTTAACACATTCAATATATCAAATAGAGACTTTGTTAATATATCAATGTGAAAAAAATTATTAAAATAGAACAAAATTGATGGCTTATTTACACAAATTAGTAGCAAAAGGTCATTGTCTTTAAATCAATTAAAATGGAACTTCTAATGAAAAGCTACGTCCTAGAGAATAGAAAAAATGAGAGTGAAAAGGAGATGTGGTGAAAAACATATTATTTGATGCCATTCTAGAACGGTTTAACAAAAAATAAAAATGACAGCTGTGACGTATATTTTGTTTGATGAGAGGCATTTTCCGACTTCTACAAAAAATCTTTCATCCTTTTACAGTTCCTTAGTGACTCTATTGTAGGTATATCACAGTAATTAAATATGCTTATTTTTTTTTAAAGATTTTTGGGAAATTGCTTATTGAATAAATACGCACCTCTGAGACTTAAGACTCAATTTTATACCGTATATATTGAAAAATATGTACAATTATTTTTATAATTTATTAGGGTTAATGATTAAATTTCTAGGATTATGAACATATACAGTGTGTCGCACGATTACGTGAAGAGAGAGGCATTTCTACTTATAAATTTATAAGAAAACGCAAAAATGTATTTATAAACAGATATCCATATATAACATTTCATTCAAATCAACCAGAGCGTTTGAGTTATTTGAAATAAACCAACATTTTCTTGAAGATTTTGATGTCATAAAACGACTATGCAGACAAAGACAAGTTTAATTAAATCACACTATTATCACTCCAAAAGTATGTGGTGGTTCAATGCATATGGAAAATTGGACTATCCTCTCTAAACATAATTTTTCTGTTTAATTAAAACTTACATAATTGGACAGTTTTCGAGCTGATTAGCAGGATTTAGCCATCACGCTCTCTTCTTCAGAAGAAACTTTGAAATTAGAGAATATCCTTGACATAAAAAATGACCTCAGATGGAGCGGGATCAAGCGGAATTATCGCTCTTTACCCATGCCATCTCTGTAAGCCCGAACGCCTCGTAGAAGCAGGGTCTTTCCCCGCAGATGCGGCTGGGTTCGAGTGTTTTGTGGGGCCTCCTCGTGTCTTGGGCATTGGAAATTAAGTCCTCTGGTTGACCGTGCATGGCTTTCCGGTACACGATTTGTAATCACTGGTCCGTGTCTTTCCTCTCATTGAATTTTTCCAAATCCTAAATAGTTCCAGTTCTTCGTTTCGATTGAAATTATTTCTATTTTTCTGGACTTCTCCCCGTAGATTCTTGATCAAAATCTTCTTGCTCATCAGAATTATGTTGCTGTTGTTCTTCAAGTGACACTTGTGCTTCTTTAACCTCGCGTTAACGTACCTTCTCTATTGTCCAATGTATACTTTTCTGCACATAGATTTGATGCCTTATATACCGGGCCCTTGAAGTAGACCAATCCTGCAGCTCGCTTTGGGAAAGTCTATTTCTATTTTTATTGAAGTATTGTAAATGGTATTAATCTCTTATTTATACAAGGTAGATAAATCGTAGCCATGTACTGTTTTTTTCTTGTTCTCAGGGGTCTCTTTGACGGCTCCTTCAATATTCCTGTTCTTCTAAGAGCAGATCGTAGATGCTGCAGGTATAAACTCACCAAATGAATGTTTTAAAAATAAAGACAGAGCAGACAAATGAATCATATACACAATTATTTCTTTCTACAAGATTAACGGATAAATAAATTTAGAACAGGCCCAAAGAGAGCTGTTTAAAAAATTTATATTCATAAGAAATAATAACATTATTAATCCACCGAACAGCCCTCGAAATAAAACACTGTTCTTCACTTCTAATTAATCGGGCACCGCTTTACTCGAGCGGTCTAAACAATGTCATACAGTGAATCTTAATTCCGCGAGTCATCCTAAATTTACGGTGGTTAATTAAATTTTAATTTCAGTTTGTTGGCGGACTTTCTGAGAGGCCATTACGGAAGCGGTTTATTATTAGCGTGCGGCTTGCAGCGACTGGACCGTCTCAGATATAAGTGAAATTAATGCAGGGACATTACGGTATTACCTTAATCGTAATTACATTCCGAGCGGAGTTGTTTTAAATGCCATCGTGCCGACTGCATCCATTTATTAATCCCGGTTTATGCACCCGTATCGCACGCCCCCTTGCCGCCCTCCACCCGAGGGACAGGGTGAGCGCGGGTAATAGGGGTACAAAAAGAAATTTAATACAAAATTACGTATTAGTTCATTACACTGTAAAAGAAATCACTCAAATTGACTCAATTTGGAGCACTTGTACCTAAATCAGAGTCAATGTCCTCATTACTTAGTGATCCCACCCTTTTTCATATCCAGATGCATTGTCTTTGTCTGTTCCCATCGTCCTATTAGGTTATCTCGTGACCGTGGGCGTGGTGGATGGCAGTATGGCGTATGGTGTGCTTTGGAGTTGGACAAGTATCGGTTTATCTCGTTATTCTAGTGAAAATTGTATTTAAATGCAGTGATTTAATTACAATAATTAAAGACAAACGGATAGTTAAATTGTTATCTAATTACGTATTTGTAACGTACAATATAAGTTATGGAAATCTATCCGTCCAATCAGTTCACCAATTCCTTTAATGGAGATCTAAAATATTGTCTCCAAAACAGATCTGTGCAGAAACCACTGTGGCAACATAATAATTTATGACTTTAATACAATTATATTTAAATTAAAATTTAAAGAGAATATAAACCAAGTCTGAGTAAAAATTTACTAAATAATAGTTAAATTTAAATCATATTAGAGAAAAAGTCAACTCTATATTGGTTTTATTTACTCAGAATAGAGTCGAAAATCACTCAAGTGATAGTTAGCAGTAACTCAGATTTGATGTAATAGTTTCGTTCAGTTGATGTAATAGTTTCGTTCAGTTGTACTTATTACTTAAAATTGAGTGAAATTTGAGTGAAACTTTTTTACGGTGTACCTGCCATGACACTACAGTCAACACATGCCTTGGGCTTGGAAATATCATTCTGGTTGAATATGTACAGGAGTAACTAAAGGATTAGCTTTATTTGCAGACACCACCAGCAGTGCTCATGCGCAGTAACTGTGTTTACATAATACTAACCTCACCTAACCTAATTTAAAGTGAAGAAGATTACAGTTAGACTCTATCTGTTCTTTTTTATTATAACTGTGAACTTGAATATTAGCAATTGGACTAGAGGAACCTTTCAACTTGCTTCAACTTGTGTATCAGGTGAGAATGTAATGAATATTAAGTTTTTTTTTTCATGTATGTATAGGCAACGACACTGACTTATCTTCTGGCTTTAACTTTTTAAATTTAATAAAGAATCTGCCATTTTTTCCTCAGAAAGAGATTTCACAAAAACATTTATCTCTCAGTCATAAACAATGTTGAAATGTTTCTAGTTTAAAAATAGGTCAATCCACCTCCTTTCAAGGTCCATCCCGTATATATTCTTCTTATAGCTAAATCTAGTAGAATATTATTTTTTCTAGATCTTTAAATAAATGTTTATACAAGATGCAATTTCTTATGATTTCTTTCTTTCTGATGATGTAAGAATTATATTCAAATCTTTACTTAAGTCCTTTAAAGGTTATGCAGTTGAGTGGGAGGGGAGTAGAAAAGGAAAAAGAATAAGAGTTTGCTTTATGATTATAAACAAGTGTTTTTACTTAAATTTTGCCCGAAAAATATTATTTATATGATTCTGTACATCAGATGTAGGAAAAATGGCTTTATTACATTTTTAAGCATTTTTTAATATTCGGGTTAGGGGGTTGTATTGTTGCCTAGAATCGATATAATATTGTTTCTGAAGGTCCAAACACATATTCCATATGATTAGGATGAATTTCTAATAGGGTCAAAACCGGCCTTATTGACCCTCCTCCTTTTCCATCTGCTATTAAGAATATAGAAACTGTACTGATCCAATTTTGTCTATATCTCCTGAGTAATTGATCAAAAACTGCATTTTGCGTTTAATCTTAGAGGATCATAGATTTATTACGAATAGATTTAGGAAAAAACGCCATTCCTTTTTTTCTGTTTCACTGTGTTTAAATGAAAGGAAAGGAACTTGTCGCAGAACCGTTGTTATTCTGCGTATCTTTCTTTGTCGTGTCAATCCAACAGAGCTGGATGATTCCCCTAAATATTTCTCTTTTGCTATTTTCCATTGTTAATTAAGGTAATTAATTTTCATATTTATTACCGCCTTTTAATCCGTATCATCGGCCTAAAGAATTCCATGGCTTCAAGTAATTACTAACACGGTGACTTGGCCTGAACATAAATAGAGTCGGCAAAATCTGTGACAACTGCACCCACTGAAACCTCCTAACAACCCATACAATGTCTCTTTATTTATTACGTCTCTTCCACATCATGCAATCCATCTACATGTCCCTTAATTAACCTAATACCGCACTAATTAAAAACATCAAGTCTTCGAGAGTGGAACTCCTCAGTTATTAAATTTTCTCGAATTAATAAAATCTGCAAACACCATCAAATTAATATATTAAACACAAAACCGCTCTCCAAATTAAAATTAAACACACTAGCGATCACCCTCTAAAGCTAATTAAATTGTGTATCAGCTACCTGTATCGCTTTAAAATTACGACGCTGTCGTTCCGGCGTCTCGACGGTGGCGCGTGCGCCGCGACGCCTTTCCGAGTACTCCATTGGCTCCAGAATAGCGCACTGAACGCCAAACTGTCCCGAAGTCAGTTAGTCGACGAGCGGTTTGCCGAGAAGCCGGTGTATTGCTACGATTCGAATAGCGGTTGCAACGTGTTCGATTGCGTGTATGGAAATTTGAAATTCGATTTCATAATCTGGATTATAGCTGTGGCAGGGACTGGATTGTGAATTGGAAGGGTCGATTCGGAGCTTTGAAGCTTCAGGTGGTCGATTTCTGAAGGTAGAGTTGTTTCCCCACATTAATTAATGCTTTCTTGTTTTCAACCAAGCTCGCTGCAGATACAATGAAAATGTTAATAGCATCAGTGGTAACTGCTCTTCTTTGGAGAAATGTAACACTGATTGTCATAAGGTTATATAATACAAACGTTTTCTTTTAAAATTAAGTTAGTTTACAGAAACAAGTTGATTACTTTGACTAAAACATTTTTCGATTATTTTGAGAAGCCTTTGAATGTTCCAGTGTAGTATTCTTCTCTAAACTAACAAAATTTTCAGTGACATTGGAAACCTATCAGTTTAATCATAGCGTTTTTGAATATTTTAGAAAATAAATACTTAAAATGTCTGTGTACTTATAAGCATTATAATTGCATTAATAATATTTTTACATAAAACTAGGTTTGCTTATATTTACTTAAAAGTATACCAACTGTAAGAAAACATGTTTTCACCCGAAATAAAACAATTGGGAAACTAAGTACTGGTATTTATTTATTTTTCGTGTTCACATCTAATATACAGGATAAATATCGGACATTATTTCAAGGCACAGCAAAAAGATGTTACGTTTTATTAAACTGGAAGAGTATCCCATATCTATTATTCATTTCATTCGTGTAACGTTAACCTCTTTTTATCAACGATACTGAACATTAGGTGTATCCATGTAGATAAACAAAATCATACTAAAAAAGACAAAAATATCTTTACCGTAATATCAGAACGGTCTGGTTTTAGACTGAAATCTAAAAATAGCCCAGTGTTTTCTTTCGTTTAATAGAAATCCTAATTCCTTGCTATAAGGATTGCATAATGACAATACCATAAATTTAGATTATAAATTGTTCTTGAAAATTAAATAATGTAATTGAAGATCTCAATTCAATATTATTATTTCAAAAAAAAAAAACAACATTTTTTGGATTATTTACACAGACTCGCTTTTGGATATTCACAAAGTAATCTACTTTAAACTAGCTTTTTCATAAAAAGGCAAGGATCTATGAGTAATTGAGATTAAACATGTTATGCAGACAAGATATTAAAACAAATTGATTTAGTCAACATCCTTTTAGAAAACAAGTACTAAAAGATTTGTCAAAAAACTCCATATATATGCATTTTGCATTGAAAATGTCTGAAACTAATTAAACAATAATTATTTGAAAAGGCCAACTGCTTGTAGTTCTTTTCTAAATTAACTATATATTTATAACGTACAATAAGATCTGTAATGTTGCTAAACAATTAAAGAACAGTCTGTATCTTTGGATTTTTTAGAAAACCATTACCAAAGATTCAATAAGCAACGTTTATTTTATGAAATTTCTTATTTTGTTACAAAATTGTTTTCTGAAATTAGTTATATAGCAAAAATTGCTATTAGTAGTTGTACAACAGCTTTCGAAATATTTTTTATGGACAATTAATATTTATAATACATGTGTTTACAAAATTGGAGATAATTTTTAATGGTAAAATATATTAGTAACAAGCAGAATTGAAAATTATAATTGAAACTATAAAATAATCAAAATTGTGAAAACTTATTGAGGACCTCTGGAATCGTCCCTGACTTACATACTGTTTAAAATAGGATGGGCCGTAAATGGCGTGTCATTTACTTTTTGTTCTACTTTTTCGTAGAAAACAGAAAAATTGCTAATTCAAGTTTAGGTATTTATCTATACTATCTTACAATTAGTTTTCTTTACGGAAATATGTGTCTTTTATTGTGAAATTTACTAGTAGTAGTAAAAGCGGAAACGTTGTGAAAAGTTATACTTATTTTTCTAAATTCTTATTTTTAACTGTGTTTGCATTTTGTGAAATAATAGTGCGCCTTTTTGTATTAGTAAGTGCAAATACGCTAAAATGACCCATCTCTACAATAGCAATGAATTAATGGACATGGTGGTAAGGTACGGAAACATTGATGAAAACTGTTGTGTTAATTGCAGATCTTGTACCACAAATAGGCACGCACCAACAGTTGAAACCAGAGGCAAAGTTATCAGTGGATTCAGAAGTTCCAAACAAGTTTTCGTCGTATCAATGTAGTAAATCACTAGCTATTTCACTAGTAATGCTATTTGCAAAAAGTATTTGTCACTTATCCTCTCCAAGTTTGTGAACACCCTCTATTTACTTAACACTATGGCAATGCTATAAAAATATTTATTTTAAAAAGAAAACAGAAAACATATTTTTACAAGATAATAAAATCTAAATCAATTTTAGAAATTCTTTGTTTAAAATCTGTGTCATACGCTAGCAGATACAATGCATTATTTTAATGAACAATAAAAATTATGCTTACCTCTTTTTAATAAATTACATCTTTATTATGTTTTTATTATCCAATTCACTAAGAGTTCGATTATTATAAGTACGTATCTAATTATTGTTTTGTATTAGAAACAATTCTATTGCATATTTTTTTAATTGATTGTAACTAAATTAACTTAATATTATTATGGAAGTACACAATTATTATTGGCCTTTTTCTGATTGAATTAAGATTGTATCAATGCAATTAAACAAAATGGTATAAAAATGGAAGGTTGTTAAGAAGACAAATCGCTTTTCTGTCGTATCCAGTTGCTCTGGATTTGTACAATATCTAAAAATAGCCAAATTTTTATTTTTTTTTTTCATTTAACGAAAATCGTAATTCCTAAATGATTATTAAATCACGGATGTTTCCCCGATGACTACTTTATATCTCTATTATTACAGTAAATATTTGCTATATAGAGTCATTACTTTAATTTATACGCTTGTATATTAGTATTATAAAAGCCTAAAAACTTGGCTTATAAAACCCACGTAAATATTCACGTGGGCAGAAATTAATTTATCTAATTGCCTCATAAAACTGTTTATGTGAAAAGGAATCGATTTACATGAAATGTAGGAATGGAATTGAAATGGGAAAGATGCTGCCGCTAAAATCTCATCCAGAAAAAAAGTATTGACGACACATTAAAAGCAGATTGATGTAATATGCAAAACAATCCAAGGAAACGTAGGAATGCAGCACCACTTTTCGAGCAAGGTAAATGTCAGCGAATTTCGCATTGTTGTCTCTAATACGAAGACACGGTAAAAGTGAATCAATAAATATTCTAAATCGTTGCTTTTAAATTATAGATTACCTCATAGCGAATAAATTTGCATCTTAATGTTAAAATATGTCGGATTTTATTTCTTGCGAAATATGTCTCTATCGTAAGTTTTACATACTTATCCATATACGAATTCTTGCGTTTAGTTGCTATGCTATGACGACCAAGAAATGATTTAAAAATGTCGGGTGAACCAAAATTCACGCAAAATAGTGCGGTAAAGTCAACGAAAAAAAAGACAACAAGACAGCTGACAATTCAGAGTTATTAGAAATACGAAAGAAAGAAAGAAAGAACAAAGCGTTTCCATTGTTGAGTAGTATTTAAAAGTAATGAAGATTTAGCAGCTACATTTCGCAATTTCCTTACAAAATATGGTCAAAATAATGATATAACTTCATCAATTGAAGCGATTAAACGAAAAATTCAAGGAGACTAGATCAACTAGTGATCTTAAACATTCTGGTCGTCCTTCATCAAGTAGTTCAACTCTAAACATCAAAATAGTCCTTGAAAGTGTTGCTGAGTGTTCAGGAACATCAATTCTGTACCGTGGTCGAGAATTGGATATTTCGAAAAGCTCTCTACAGCGTATTTTTTCGAAAGATTTACATCTCCAAGCTCACAAAATTTAATTGATTGAAGGACTGTTGCCTACTGACCACGAAGAACGAAGAGAGTTCGTTGAATGGATTATGGAACAACAAGTGGAAATCATATTCGATGAGGCTCATTTTCATCTTGATGGCTTCATTAATCAACAAAATGTCGAATTTGGGGTTCAGAAAATCCACTATTGATAGTTGAGAACCAGATACATCCATAACGTGTCTCCGTTTGGTGCTTATTTTGGGCTGTAGGCATCATCAGACCATTTTGTTCTGAAGTGAGGCTGGTCAGGCAATAATAGTTCATAGTGCTCGCTATCACGACATGGTAATTCAATTTTTTGTGCCTAAATTATAAGATATGGATGTAGACGGTATGTGGTTTCAACATGACAGTGATATATGCCATACAGCCCTCGAAACAGTTCAATTACTGCACGAGTCATTTCCTCGTCGTGTAATTTCACGTTTTGGTGGTCAGAATTGGCCGCCCAGATAATACGACATAATGCCATTGGACCTTTTTCTTTAGGAAGTCTAAGCTTTATGTCAACAAGACCACGACCACCCACACCTTGAAGGAAGAAATTGAGCGCTATATCAACGAAATTCTGCCGCATTTATGCAAAACAGTCATGGAAAATTTCGACAAAAGAATGAAGGCCATTTACCCGATCTGCTATTCCATATACAAGGTGATTCACAAATGGTGATCAAAAATGAAACCTCGTATTCTTTGTTGAATTATAAGGGTAGTCTTTCCTATAAAGTTTTTATATAGGACGTTTCGTTAAAACGATATAGGGTGTTATTCCACTTACTAATTTTTAAATTATTTAAAAGAATTAAAAATATTTTTTGAAGTTTAACACCCTGTATCTTTTTAACGAAGCGTCCTAGATAAAAACTTTATAGGAAAGACTCCCCTTAACCTTAATTCACCAAAGAATACGAGGTTTCATTTTTGGTCACCATTTGTGAATCACCCTGCATAACCTTATACTGTATACTTTATGAATCAATAAAAATTTACAATTTTGAGATAGAAACCTGTGTTTTCAATCAAAATTACTTCTTGCGTGAATATTAGACAACCTTTACAGTGGCCCTGAAAATGTGTTATTTTAATAAATCATTTAGTTTAACTGTGAACTTTTCAAAAATAAATTATACAAGATAATATATTTATACAAATTAAGTATAAAAAAATATATTCACATTTAATAAAGACATTTACCCATTTGAAGCTGTGACATTTCAAT